CAGTGAAAGTTTATTCGGTGACGTGGAATCGTTTGCAACAGCAGGGCACAACGGAGGCAGGGGGGGGAGGGGGTTCTCCTCGCGAATGAGGTTATTTCCCAAGAACGTAGCACAGTGATTTGTATACTTGCAGGTGTAATGTCAAGCAGTGGCCCGTTTGGTGCAAGTGCTGAGGCAAAAAGATTCGTGGAGAATTTATTATCGGATCTCAGGACGCTCTCACAGGAAGCCAGGAAGAAATATTCGCCAATTAGAGAGGTATGCATCATCGTTCAGTTTCCTCTTAGGTTTGCATCACCTGTGGTCCAGTATTTTCGAAAAATCGGAGTTCCCCGTTACTTTTATCTGGTCCTGAACGCGTTCACTGAAGTTCTGGTGTTTCTGCTCTTTTTTGGTCCCAATGTTCGTCTCTTCCTTCCATCGCCTACGCACATGTTAACTGAAGCCACGCCTCGTTACTGTTTTTGCTACTTTTCAGTCACATTTGTCTCCCTGGCAGCAACTCAAAGATGTATATGATTTAATGGACCGAAACGTCTTATATCACTCTTTCCTTATATTGTTCTTTCACGCTGTAATCGGCGTCTAGGCCTCCAGGGCCAATCTGGTTGCCACAATTATCCGCTTAGACTTGCTTATGATGCTTGTCTAGTACAGAATACTTTGGTTTGATGAACGATTTTGCGCGTAGCTCCTCATTGTTGCCTAATTTACCGCACATTTGATAGAAACGGTCCCATTCATGATACTGCCCCTCATTAGTACTTATACTAATTATGCGTGGTTAAGGCTTTTTGGATGGTTGAGATAGATAGAGCAGTATATTACATATCCTTCTTAGGTTCTTATTCGGTTCGGTTCTCTGCCGTCGGCTTAGTCTGGCACTTTGTGTCAGTGATTTTTTCATTTTTTTTTTGGGTGAAATTTTGCACCACCTTCTGCAACTCAGTTGTGCTCTTTTTTAGTGTTTTATTTTAAGACCTCTGTGTCTAACTTTTACACTTTATCAGCATTGCTACGATATTTTTCTAGTCTCTCAACCATGCAGTCTTTTCGGCTAGTGGTTTTAGGAATTAGGATGGGTATGTTACTTTGTCACATCTGCTCCTCCTAGCATAGGCGGATGGAGGGGGAAGGGGGGGGGCGGGAGGAAGAGGGATAAAGGGTCTTTCGCAAAAGTCCGGATCTAAAACTAAAACCAAAATAAACTAAAGCCTAAAGTAACTTTAAGTAGCAGTGTTACAAC